AGAAGCCGCAAAGTCTCACGTAGGGGGTACAGTCTCCCTTGGTCTGCGCCACTGCGTCAAACGCCTCTTTCCTCCCAGCGTCTCCTCCCCACCTTGGCCATCACGTTCGCCCCGTTGGCTATCAGCTCCTTCGCAACTTCCACGTGACCGTTGTATGCTGCTCGACCCTCGTCACTCGCGCTTGACAACCTCACCTCTGTCCTCACCAGCCCAGTTCATGGCGAACAGCACAGGTCCCTCCCTCCTCCTCCTCCTCCTCCTCCTCCTCCTCCTCCTACTCCTCTCCCTTGATTCACATTCTACTCTGCAGGAGGCTCAATCGACTGTGAAGATGATGGTGATCTCGCGCTATAAGGTCAAAGGACTCAATGCCAGCACTATTCCCTCCCTGCCTCTGTCTCCCTCCCTTCCTCTCTCCCTGCCTCTGTCTCCCTCCCTTCCTCTCTCCCTGCCTCTGTCTCCCTCCCTTCCTCTCTCCCTGTCTCTGTCTCCCTCCCTTCCTCTCTCGTTGCTCTTTCCTTCTGCTTTGCGCTACCATGACTGCCTCATGTTCCTCCTCTTTCAGTTCGCTCTCGCAGTCGAGAACACAAGAGATGTCGACTACGTAACTGAGAAGATGTATGAGGTAACACTCTTGCTTGTGGTTGCTGCTGCTGCTGCTGCTGCTGCTGCTGCTGCTGCTGCTGCTGCTGCTGCTCCTCCTCCTCCTCCTCCTCCTCCTCCTCCTCCTCCTCCTCCTTGCCTCGTCCTCCGCTTTGCCTCCACTTCTACCACCATCTGATTCCTTTCGTCTCTCCTCCTCTCCTACACCCAACTCTCCTTTCCTCCCTCTTGCCGTCTTGCAGACCCTTCCTCCCTCCTCCCCACCTTGCTGCTCCTTCTTCTTCTCCTCTCCTCTCCTCTCCTGTCTTCTCCTCTCCTGTCTTCTCTTCTCCTGTCTTCTCCTCTCCTGTCTTCTTCTTCTCCTCTCCTCTTCTTCACTCCTGTCCTGTCCTGTCCCCTCCCTCCTGTTCTCACTTCTTCGCTCTCATCCTCTCTTCTCATCTCGATGCCTCAGGTGCTTCAGGCCGGCGCTGTTCCCATCTACCTCGGCGCTCCTAACTGGAAAGTAATTTTTCCCCTTCCATCTGCCGTCATCGACGCTGCTGCCTTCGAGTCTCCCCCACGTTAGCCCCTTCCTCCTCCTCTCCTCCTCCTCTCTCTCT